ACGAGGACGATATCCTCGCCCTGGAGCCCGTCGCTGCTCCGGGCACCCCATACGCGACGCTCGAGCTCTTCCCAGTCTCCAGCGCGCACGCAGCGTCGTCGACGTCCCTCGGCACGGCACCGCGCGCTCCCCGGGCGTCTGCAGTGCCGGGCGTTCCCCGCGCTTTCGGCTCGGGGGCGCCGCTCACCCCAGTCTTGAGCGGTCTGTCGACGCCCACTGGGATGGTGCCAGGCACGCCCCGCACCTTCGGCGCGGGGGCGCCGCTCACCCCGGTCTTGAGCGGCCTGTCGACGCCCAACGGAGTGGCGCCAGGCACGCCGCGTGCCGTTCTTGTGCCAGGCACTCCCCGCGCCCAGGGTCTGTCGACGCCCCCAGGGATGGCGCCGCGCACGCCCCTCGGCTTCGTTGTGCCAGGCACTCCTCGCGCCCAGGGTCTGTCGACGCCCCCAGGGATGGCGCCGGGCACGCCCCTCGGCTTTGCTGTGCCAGGCACTCCTCGCGCCGATGCGGCCGCAGCGGCGCTTCACTCCGTGACGCCAGCCCCCCCGCCCTCTTCCGTCGCCGCGGCGCCGGGCAGCCCATGGCACGCCTGGGGCCGGGCGGCGGGCGACGTGGCGCCAGCCACCCCGCCGGGCGGCCCGTGGCACGCCTGGGGCCGGGCGGCGGGCGACGTGGCGCCAGCCACCCCGCCGGGCGGCCCGTGGCACGCCTGGGGCCGGGCGGCGGGCGACGTGGCGCCAGCCACCCCGCCAGGCGGCCCATGGCACGCCTGGGGCCGGGCGGCGGGCGACGTGGCGCCAGCCACCCCGCCGGGCGGCCCGTGGCACGCCTGGGGCCGGGCGGCGGGCGACGTGGCGCCAGCCACCCCGCCCTCTTTCGCCGCCGCGGCGCCCGGCACCCCGCCGCTCTCGGGGCCACGGGACCAAGTCTGGAGGGAGGCGGCGGACGCAGCGGCGCGCAGCTCTGCGACGCCGGTCACCACGGAGCCCTTGGTCGCCGTGCCGCCAGACGCCAGGGCCCAGCTCGGCCAGGCCGCGCCGGGAACGCCCTCCGACGTACTGGTGGCCGCGCCGACTGAAAGTGTGGGGGTGGCACGATTCGGGTCCAGTTCAGGTTCCATCAGGTGTGCTCACGATGAAGATCCATCGCCCCAGAGCGTTCCCGAGCGCTCTGGAACGGCCTCCTCGATGCATCTTCTGGACCCGCCAGCTCCCAGAGATTCCCGATTTATCTCAACCCGACTTTAGTCTTGCCAGGTGCCAGGGAGACCTCCCAGGGATGGAAGCCCTCGGCCACGACGCCGTGGGTTTTGCCTGGGCTTTTGTCCAGCCCAAGGTAGCTGCTTTGCTGGGCGCCACGCCCACGAGCCCCGTTCTCAATTTCAACCGATCGCGCGATCGCTGGTTACGGTCGCAACGCTGCGGCGGGGGGCAGGGAGGCATGGAGGGAGGGAGGGACGGGGGGATAAGGAGGGGGGAGGGAGGGAGGGAATAGCGAGTATCGAGCTGGCGGAGGCGGAGGCGGAGGCGGAGGTGGAGGCGGAGGCGGGGGCGGAGGCGGAGGAGCAGGAGATGGAGGTTGGTGGAGGGAGGGGGGAGGAGGAGGAAGGATCCTCGTACACCTCTCAGAGAACATGTGCAAGTACTCGGATTTCGCTGTCCAGAGGCTTGTGGAGCTTGATGAGCTCCCTCGCATAGCCTCGGCACGCGGGGAGACACCAGGATCAGCGCGGTAGCTCCAGGGATCAACCTTCCATGCAGTCTGGAACCAGAAGCCAGGCCTCTCCATGAGATCCATGAGTCTGTCCTTCGGCTGTCGTTAATCGCGTAACGGAATCGGCTTCAGGTGTGTACCGTCGTAACCGAGGCTGTGACTAGGTGATCGGTGGATGCCATGTTATGCAGATCGAACCAGCAATATGATCATTCCCTTGTAATGAAGACGTGATCGGAGTGCTACATCGATTGTGTCGTGGACGAATATCACGTCATTCCTGTGAAAGCCAGTATGGGTCTCGCTGTTCCGAGCTGTCTCGCCCAATCTTGGGATGCCTGAGACTGGCCGAGCCTGGCGAAGACACCTTCGGCGGCCCCCGTGGCCCCTCCTGGGGGCGTATCTGTGGAATCCGTCAGAGCCCGGAGTTATCAGGGCAGGGGGTGGCCAGGGATAACTCCCGAATTTGGCCTCTCGTTTGCGTGCCGGAGTCTCTCTGGATTGCACTCAACCCGGATCACCTTCTGGAACACGTAGATATATTGTCTGGATCGAGTGGCTCCACGGCTTCCTCGGATCACATGTGGGGGCCCCGTTAACAGTGCCTGCCCTGGACCAGGTCTATCCCGGATCACTCGGGTGCCCAAAGCTCCCTCCCCTCCCTTGTCTCGGGGGCGGCAAAGAGGGGGGTGATGACTAGGAGGGGGTGGATATCATGGCGGGGGCCATGATATTTCCCCAGATTTCATGGCGCTTCTTCTTATTTCAGTACGTCCCTGGCCCCCCCGCTGGGCCGCGCACGTGCCGCTGGTCAGGATTTGCACCCCCCCTCTCGGACACCCCCCTCTTGGCCGCTCCCGACCATGGAGTAGCTGTTGGCTGTTTTTGGCGCCTGTTTCAGGCAGGTGGGGGCCCTCCCCCCTAGGACGTGCTGATGCGAGCAAGCGCGCCAAGCCGAGGTCCGGAGCCAGACCCCCCCCCCCTCCCCCCCTGTCGAAGCGCCGATTGTCAGTGCCCGGACAGTGTCGGCACTCCACCGTGGCCAGGCCCTCCGGCGCGTCCATCGTCGTGGCGCCTGCCAGCGACGCCACGGCTCCTCGAGGCGGCCGAGCTCCGCACGCCGGTCCCTCTCGGGGAGAGGTGGCCAGTCCCAGGGCAGAGGTCCCAGAGGTTACCAGTTGGAAGCACATCCCTATCCCTGTGTTTGACATCACCTCACCTCGATGCCGATCTTAAGGATTCTTTCAGTTTCCGAGGGCCAATCTCTAAGATTGTCCTCGCTTTTTGCTCGCCCATCTCAGGGATAGGGATCAGTTTGAGGCTGGTTAAGAGAGTTGTGCGGGCTCTTCTGTGGATGTTTATCTCCGCCCCGTCGAAGAAGAAAACACTGCACAGACACACAAACTTTCGGAGCTCCGCGCGGATTTCAGGGATCTGCGCTAGGGCCCCCTTGCCAGCGCCGATCCGAGACATCCGCGTGGAGCTCCGAACGTTGATGCTTTTTTTGCTATCGACCTTGGAGCCGGCTGGGGGTCTGAGGTGGCCCAGCACTGTTTCGGATTAGCAGGAAAAGGGCAGGTTCGAGGTTCTAGGCTCTGGATTGTAGTTTTGTTTCTTTTTCGACCTCCGGGTACTGTTTTCTGTCCAGGGGACCATGGAAAATTGATCCAGGCTGGGTAATTGTGCCAGACGGATCCCGAGAGGGGTCTGGGGACCGATCTTGAGCGGATTTGGGTTCAACCTGGCGGCCGCGAGAACCTGGAGTACTGGCGGACCCTAAAAGATACTGCCGCTTGCCCCTGTCGCCCATCGCGTCCCCGCTCTTTTCCCCTCCCGCGTGATCTTGGGGGGGAGAGGCCGCCGGCGCACAGCTCGTGGCGAAGACTCTACGCCGCCTGAGAGGACTCAACCCGCGTTCCCCCTCGCTTGGGTGATTTTCCGGGGTCCCGGCCAGTTCGGAGCCCCGAGCCGCCTCCAACTTCTTCCTCGGTCTCGCGCCTGCCCCATCATCATGACGGGCCGTGCACGTTCCCCCCCCCCCTACGTTCACCTTCACACCCCGTCCCGCTTCTCCTGCCCTCACTCTTGGCCACCCTGTCCCGTGCCGGTGTGGTGTCGCCCTCTTCTGGCTTTTCCTGCCCTTATCCTGTCCTTGTCCTCCTGCAGAGTTCCCCTTCCAAGCCCCCCTCCGTGCTGCCCCATCATTTCCGGGAAAGGAGGGCGAGTGTGGGATGGGCAGGGGCTGCGGATGGAGGGAAGGTGGCGGCAGGGTGCGGAGGCATGATGGGGCCGGGGGCGGGGGCGGGGGAAGGACGGGGGCAAAAGGGAGATGGAGGGTAATGGGGAAGGGGGAGGGCGGCCGAAAAGAACCATGACACCAGAGAGGAATCCCGCCCAGTGGATTTCCTCGAGTTGTCGCAGGCCCTCCACGCCTACCGTCTCTATATTATCTCTCTCTCGCTCTCTCTAACCAGCTCTGCTCTATACTATTCAGTGTGTGCTCTCCTGTCTGTGTTAATATATGTACACATGTCTTACAGGGTTCACAAGTACTCTCTCTCTCTACACAATTCCCCAAGCAGTGCTTGCGCTTAGGGGTTCTTGCTTCTGTTCGAAGGAATTGGGCCCGCCCGTCGTCTGGGCCTGCGTGTCGGTCTGGCGGCTCCGCGGTCGCCGTCGCCGCCACGTCGCCGCCCTGTCGCCGCCCGTCGTCTGGGCCTGCGTGGCGGTCTGTTGGCTCCGTGGTCGCCGTCGCCGCCTCGTCGCCGCCCTGTCGCCGCCCTAAGTTGCACCATATGGATTACATATATATATATATATGTACATATACACATATATATATAGCCCCACATAGAGCGTACCACATCGATTGCACCACATAGGTTGGACAATCTAGATTGCTTCACATGGCATGTCTCGCATCTATTGCACCACATGGATTGCACAACGTATACTGCACCACGTAAAGCGCACAACATATATTGCACCACATAGGTTGCACAACATAGGTTGCTGCTCCATCTATATTCCCCTCTCTGAAAGAAGTTAGAGTCTACCCCCATCCCCCCCAGACCTATCACCCCCCTGGGGTATTGCAATTTACACATGATTATGCCTCCTTGTTCATTTTCCATGTGATTTCATAGAATCCCAGCCAGACCGGTATCGACCCCCTTCATCCTTGCCAAATAAAACCATGCAGGCCACATGCGCGCGTGCAAGACGAAATCCTTCCACAACTTTGTTTACGTAGCGATTTCAGCATCATCCGGGCGAAGGACCCAGCCATGTGCAGTTGTGAGTAATGCAGTTGTGGATATCGTCCTCGGAGAACCTCTCTCTTGGGCCACGACGCGTGTGACGGGTGTGCCAACATTGGCACGGGTACGCCATGCGGACGTTGCCAGTGGAGCCGTCGGTGGAGCCCCATGTGCCCATGTGAGGCCACGAAACGTGTGAGGGGTGCACCGAAATGCAGGGTGAAGCGCGTGCGGGCACTGCCGCTGGGGCCTTTGGGGGGAGCTCCGTATAGAGCCACGGAACGTTTGAAGGGTGCGCCGAAATGAAGGGTGGAACTGAATGCGGGCACTGCCACTGGGGCCTTCGGTGGAGCACCTTAAGGGGCCACGAAGCGAGTGAGGGGTGCGCCGAAATGAAGGGTGGAACTGCATGCGGGCCCTGCCTCTGGGGCCTTCGGTGGAGCACCTTATGGGGCCATCGAACGTGCGAGGGATGCACCAGAATGGAGGTGGAACTGCATGCGGACCCTACCACTGGGGCCTTCGGTGGACGAGACTATGGCCACGAAACGTGTGAGGGGTGCACCGAAATGGGGGTGAGACTGCATGCGGACCCTGCCACTGGGGCCCTGGGTGGAAATGGGGCTACGAAACGTGTAAGGGGTGCGCTGAAATTGAGGTGGAACTGCATGCGGACCCTGCCACTGGGGCCTTCGGTGGAGCACCCCATGGGGTGCGCCGAAATGGAGGTGGAACTGCATGCGGACCCTGCCATTGGGGCCTTCGGCGGAGCATTCCATGGGGCCGCAAAACGTGCGAGGGGTGGGCTGGGGAAGAAGAGGGGCTGGAAGAGGAAACCCGATACACCACTCATGCCCTAAAGGGCTGGTGGGAGTCCACAAGCAGTGCTGGCACTCGGGGGCTCTTGCTCCTCTTCTAAGTAACTGGGCATGTGCGTCGGTCTGGCGGCTATCTCGTCGCCGCAGCCGCCCCGTCGCCGCCTCGCCGCTGCCCTTCGTATGGGCCTGTGCGTCGGTCTGGCGACTATGCAGTCACCGTCGCTGCCCCGTCGCCGCCTCACCGCCGCCCGTCGTCTGGGCCTGTGCGTCGGTCCGGCGGCCATGCCGTCGCCGTCACCACCCCGCTGCCGCCTGATCGCCGCCACATCGATTCTCCTTTCTAAAAAGAGAATAGACTCTACCCCCCCGGACTTATCGGCCTTCCCTGGGATAGTATGATTTCATATATATATATATTTATATATATATATATATATATTCTGCACACTCGTCCATCCTAGATATGAAATCAGATCATCCCAGCCAAACCGGGTCCCCCCCCTGAGGTTCCCTTTTTTGTTGTTGTTGTTGTTTTTTATTTATTAAAAAAAATCACTGTGCGGTGACATTGTTTGTTCTAAATAGCTTCTGTTGCAAATCCCTTGCAAAAAAAGAGGCGAAGTGCACACGCGCGCGTCGTCGCGCGCGCATGCCGAAATCCTTCAAAAACCTTTGGTGCTGGAAGGATTTCGCAATCGAGTTTCCCAAATACAAAAACACATGGTTTCGCAACACTGATTTGCTAGAAAAGCTTCCGCGCGAGCTCTTGCGAAATCTTAAGAAAACCCATCGGTTTTTTTTTTCGAGACTTTCACAACATGCTACCAAACGGGCTTCGCGCGCGCATGTCGAAATCTGTCGAACGCCCTTGCGCGTGTGCCGTCGCGAGAGTCCTCTGCAAAACATAGGACGAAGTGCAGACGCGCGCGTCGTCGCGGGCGTATGCCGAAAACCTTCAAAACCAATCGGTTTCGGAAGGATTTCAAAATCGTGCGTCCAAAAAACCTACAGAAACCCAAGGTTTCGCAACACGGATTTTCAACAAAAGCGTGCGCGCGCGCTCTTGCGTCGTCGTCGTCGTCGTCGTCGTCGTCGCCGTCCTGCCTCCTCCCGCGTCGTCGTCGTCGTCATCGCCTACGTCGTCCTCTGTCTTTTCTCGTGTTCGTCGTCGTCGTCCTCTTTGGCGTCGTGGTCGTTTCCGTCTTCGTTGTCGCCGTGGTCGTCCTTCCTCCTCCTCCCACGTCGTCGTCGTCGTCCGTCGTCGGCGTCTCGTCGTCGTCCCTCCTATTTCGTCGCCGTCGTCGTCGTCGTTGTCGTCGCCGTCTTCCCTCCTCCCTCGTCGTTGCTGTCGTCGGCGTCGCCGTCCTTCCTCCTTCGTCGTCGTTCGCGTCGTCGCCGTCCTCCCTCCTCCCTCGTCGTTGTCGTCGTTGTCGTCGTTGTCGCCGTCGTCGTCATTCCTCCTCCCTCGTCGTCGCCGTCGTTGGCGTCGTCGTCGTCGTCGTCTTCGTCGTCGTCGGCGTCGGCGTCGTTGTCGTCGTCGAAGTCGTCGAAGACGTCGTCGGTGTCGTCCTAGTCGTTGTCGTCGGTGTCGTCGTAGTCGATCTCAACAGGTTTTGCAAACCAAGTTGCGGGTGGGTGGGTGGGATGTTTGCGCGAGCAGTGGAGATGACGACTTCAAGTTCAGCAGAGTGGGTTGCATTCCATAGACGGTACCACACAGGTTACTCTTCGTATATTGAACCTAACAAGTTGCACCGCATACATTCTTACACACATATTGCACAACGTAGACGGCACCACATATTCTGGACAACGTATAACGCACCACATAGAATACACACCATGGATTGCACCACACATGTTGCACCACACAGCTTGCACCACACCGACTGCATCACATACTTTGCACCACGTACTTTGCACCATGTACTTTGCACCGCATTGCTCGCACCGATGCACCACATAGGTGGCACAACATTGATAACACCACATCTATTACACCACATCAATTGCACCACATATGTTGTTCCACGTTTTGGCGCACATTGCGCACCACACATGTTGTGCAACTACAGTGTACAACATAAACTTCGCTTATATGTTGCATCGCATAGGGTGCACCACGTAGGTAGCACCACATAAAGTGCTTACAACGATTCCACCACACATATTGCACAGCATAAGTTCCTCCACATAGATGGCTCATCATGTACTGGAGCACATCGATTGCACAACACACGTTGCAATCTATATACGTGTATGTAGCACTAGACACATTGCATCACTTGTATCGCACACCGTGTAATGCTCGAAGCAAGCTGTTTAGGGTCCACGCTGGCTAACAACTACATACGCGTTTTACATCCTCGCAAATGGGGGACTGCTTTACGTCTACAGGCTCGTTTTTTGTTTTGTAAGCACATATCCGCATACGTGCAAATGGACATATGTGTACACATACGTGCCTAGACAACCACATTTGTACACACATGTGTATATACATATCTAGTCACTTGTGTGTGTAGAGAGAGAGAGAGAGAGAGAGAGAAAGCAATTTATAGAGAGAGAGAGAGAAAAAGAAAACAAGAGAGAAGCAGGAAACAAAGGGACAGCGAGAGACAGTGACAGAGAAGGAGGGTAACGGATGCCCATACATTCATATGTATAGATGTCTATGTTTATGCATGTGTATATACCTGGATGTGTAGAATATATACGCACATATGTGTGTGCGTGAAAGAGACACAGGGAGAGAGGGCGAATGAGAATGGGGGGCGGTCGGGGGGAGAGGGCGAAGGGGGCGGAATGGGGTTGCGCGGCCGAGCGCGGGCTGCTCGCCCCACCACAGGTCGGGGACATGCCGGGCACGCCCGTGGAGGCGCGCGCGCAGCCGCCGGGCCCTCGAACCGAGCCGTCTCGGCTTCGTACGTCCTCTGGCAGTCGAGGTTTCTGCACGAACGAAATGGGCACGGAAAGAATGGGTACAATGCCCAACAGCAGTTCCTGTTCATTTTGAACAGGACTCGCTGTCCACGCCGCCGCGGCCGGTGTCCATTCGAGACAGAAGGCCGCCTGCCCAACAGCGGCCGCTGTTGGTATGGGACAACATTTGTTGTTGGGCATTGTACCCATTTTTTCCGTACCCATTTCGGGCGTCCACATCTTACGTCCTCTGACAGTCGAGGTTCGAGGATCGAGGTCTTCGGACGACTCGGCCCTGCACCGCGCAGTCCCCCTCCCCTCCCGGCCCCCGCCCGCCGCTCCTCTCCGCCCCTCCTCTCCTCCCCTCCTGTCGGCTGGGAAGCTGCGGCCCGCGGCTGGCCGAGGCGTGCGGGGCGTTGGTTTCTGAGCAGCCGCGCCCTGCCCAAACAACTCAGCCATCCGGGGGCAGTCCGCAAATCGAGTTGTTTTGGCTTCGTACGTCCTGGGGCACGTTCGATCCTTCGGGTTTCCGTCATCGTTTTTAAGAAAATCGAGCTGTTTCGGCTTCGCACGTCCTCGGGCACGTTCGATCCTTCAGGTTCAGTGTATTTGTTCTCTTTGGATTGGGCTGTTTCTTTCGGCTTCGTACGTCCTCGGGCATGTTCGATCCTTCAGGTTTGCCGCGTTTGGTTTTGATTATTTGCCAGCCGCGGGCATCGGTGATCGCACCTGCGTGTTCAGTTTCTGTGTTGTGTTCAGCTCTTGCAGATTAGGGCTGTTTTTTCAACAGGTTCCTGGGCCCCAGGGCCCATCCTGACATTGGTGCCTTGTCAGGAGCTTTCTCGGGGGTGCCGTCAGCCCCTGGCCTTCTGTGAAGGCAGCTCCCCTTTTGGCGCGCCACCAAAAGCAGGCCGAGGCGGAGGTCTGAGATGGACGCGTGGAGGAGTAGCCAGGCGGGCCTCATTCTGGCCGGCCGGGGCCCGCCTGTCTGATCTCGGCGATACACGAGGGAGCCCTGCCTCTCCAGGACACCCGGAAGGGTCCGAAGTCGGCTACACGCAAGAGTGACTCTTCGCCGGAATGACCTTTGAAAGTTGGCGTGCGGCTTTCGGGTGGCGCGTGGGTGGGTGGGGGGGGGCACACCCCATCTCGCAGGCCAGTGCTGTCGCATCGCACGCAGCGAGCGGCAAGCTGGCACCAGAGGTCACTCCTGCCTGGGGTCACTCTTGCGCGTCGCCGATCGAGGGGCTGCTCTCTTCAGGAGCGAAAGAAGGACGTACATGGACATGAATCCACGCTGGTTTCGAGAGTACGCATTGCGCAAATGTTCGTATGACGCGGCCGGTCTCGCGGATCGAGGGGCCGTGCTCATGTACATAGCTGGGCGCGTACGTCCTTTGTGGGCTCCCTATCCCCCGAGCGAGCGTGGGGCCGAGGCGTTCTCCGCGGAGCCCGCGCCGGTGCCCGCGGCTCGCCGGCGGTCGCCGCGGGGGCCCCGCCAAATGCAGAAGTCGTTCGGAATCCGGGCAGGCCTGCACGAGGCCAGATCAGCGGCACCGTAACGGGTACTCACTAACGGGTACTTCGGACATCTGCCGAAAGTTGCCACTTTGGGGCCCCTTTCTGTCATTGCAGGGTTGCCCACATCGGGGAGGATTGGGTTCGCCGGGTCACTGGCCAAAGTACCCGTTAGTGGAGTCCCCGTTAGAGGGGCGCTGACCAGAGTGCAAGCAGTGGCGAAGCGTCCCGGCGTGCCCATAGGCCTACCAAGCACTGTTCTAGGAGACATGTGTGGTCTCCACGAGATGTTCTCAGAACATTTCTGGCTGGGGCGGTCTTCGTTGAACACATCGGTGTCATGTTCTAGGAACATTGTTTTTGCTCTTAGGGCATTTTTTGGGGTTCTAAGAGCATGTCGTGGCAGGCCTATAGGAATGCCAGGACGGTCGGTCCCTGTTCAAAGAGTGGGCCCATACATCCAACATCGTGGAACAACACAGAACTGGGGTTTTGGGTTGTGTTTGGCCTATGGGGGCCCCCGCTGGGCCCCGAGACCGTCAGCGAAGGACCCAGGCTGACAAGCTGGTTGCGGGAACGAGGGTCGAGACTCCAGGGAGCCCCGTAATTATTGAACAGAATCAAGACATCGGATCTTTGGGGGTCCACCCTTCACCTTCCGCACTTCTGCGCGGCAGGTTCTGCCTCGGCAGGTTCCGTCGCGGCGCTTGCCGTGCGGAAGGTGCGGAAGGTGGGTGTCGAGAGTGTTCAAGGCTGCAGCGGTTCTGCTTAAAACTCGAGCAGGCAGGGGGGTCTCTCTGCGAGCCGCTCCTGAACGCCGAGCTTGCCTTAGCGAGGCCGGAACGGCCCGCGGGGTGCCCGCCCGTCCCAGGCTTGGTTCGGCGACCACAAAGGGTATGATTACGCCGGGGTGTGGTTTGCAAGGCGCGTCGTTGGGGGCTTGCGGGGCACCACCTTGCCCTCGTCGGGCCTTCTCGGGACGCGGCGGCAAACTCCGTCGAGGTCCTCGCCCGTCCCCCAGGGTGCGCGCTACAAGCCACGCCCTTTGCGAGCCACACCCCTCGGAGTCGCCTGATTGGTCAGGGCCCGGTCCTGTCCGGAGTCGGTGTCGACGTGCGGCTGGTGCTTCCCCAGGTCGGCGCCCGCGGCAGTGCAGCAGGCGCAGCCCGTCAGCGCGTGCACCAGGGGCGGCGCCAGGCCCAGCCGCAAGAGGCCCCGCGAGGCCGCCGCGGAGGCCGTGGCCATCTCGGCGGGCGACTGCGTCGTCTGCCTGGACGCCGCGGCCACGCACCTGGCGGTGCCGTGCGGGCACCAGGCCTTCTGCGCGGAGCTGGGGGGAGGAAGAGGTGCCGATGCCGCCACCCTTCCCTCGCTTGGCTGCCCTGATGCGCCCGTGCTGAAACGCAGGACGTACCGTGTTCAAAACAAAACGTCTGCGTCGACACGCTGCGTGTTGGCTCGGCGTGCTGGCCAACGTGCTGGCGAACGTATCATGCCAAGTGTAAGTACGTCTTCAATCTCCGCGTTGAGCGCAGTGTCAGCAAGCTACGGGTAACGTGTTGCGTATTGGGGCAGCTAAGTTCTCTCGTCGCCACCAGTGGAGGTGGAGGAGGAGGAGGAGGAATACGAATTCGATTTCTTAGACTAAGAATATTAATACTACTAGTCATATACATGATAGTAATACTAGTAAGACTACGGATACTAATGCAAGTAAGAGTGTATTAATAACAATAAGAGCATTCAGTGTACTAAGACGAAGACGATACGTATACTACTATTGATAACCATGCTGCTACGAATGCAAATAACAGTGCCGACGACAATAATGATACGCATAACGTGAAACACAATGATAATATGACAGAAAGGAACATAATAAGACTACAAAGCATATTAAAACTAATACCAATGAACCATACTCTAATAAAGAGAATATCAAGAACAACAGTAATAATACTCACATTAAGGATCATAACAACACTCATAATACGAGGAGGATGAGGAGGAGGCGGCGGAATGGAAGAGGAGGAGGAGGAGGAGGCAGCTAGGTCCCTAGATTCGCTTCGAAATCATAGTCAGAGCGCACCCCAGAAACGGTCTGGGGGGCTTAGCGGTATCGGAATCTTTCTTGGGTTTCTCCACAGGAGTGCTCCGCAAGGCTGCTCCCGCGCCGCCCGAAGTTCAAGCGGAGCTCGCGGTGCCCGGTGTGCCGGAAGGAGGTGCAGCAGATCATCCAGGTCGGCGATTCCCAGACCCCCTCGAGTCATGAATAGAATCGCGGCGGGAGGTTTTTCGTTATTTTGGGTCTCCGGGGTCCCTCGCCGGGCCTCGGGACCGTCAGAAAACTTTTCAGGATGAAAAACGGGCCCCAGGAAAGGGGTCCAGAGAGACGGGGTCCTGAGGGATGGGGCCCAATGAGTGTTTTCGAACACAAAAAAAAACACGCCCAGGTACAGCGACTAGAGGATGGCGCAAGAGCGCCTCCCGCGCCCCAAATTTCAAGGCTCATCTAAGGGAGCAGGCCGCGGATTGCAAGTGTGGGCGTTTTTTTGTTCGAAACCACTCGCGCTCCCCCGCGTCGCCCACCCCGAACTTTGAATCTGGGGCAGGGGGGTTGGACCCGCCTCCAACAGCCTTAGAGATGGGCGTGTTTTTCCCAACCATCCTGTGGTGTTGGGTCCTCGTTTTGAAAAGACGGTGCCCCGCGTTCCTCTCCTCCTCCTCCTCCTCCTCCTCCTCCTCCTCCTCCTCCTCCTCCTCGCCCTCCTCCCTCCAGGGTTCGCATGCCTCCCCACCACCCATTTCGGCACACCCCTCACACGCCTCCCCACCGAAGGCCCCCCATTTCGGCACACCCCTCACACGTTTCGTGGCCCCATAGGGAGCTCCACCGAAGGCCCCAGTGGCAGGGTTCGCATGCCTCCCCACCACCCATTTCGGCACACCCCTCACACGTTTCGTGGCCCCATAGGGAGCTCCACCGAAGGCCCCAGTGGCAGGGTTCGCATGCCTCCCCACCACCCATTCGGCACACCCCTCACACGTTTCGTGGCCCCATAGGGAGCTCCACCGAAGGCCCCAGTGGCAGGGTTCGCATGCCTCCCCACCACCCATTTCGGCACACCCCTCACACGTTTCGTGGCCCCATAGGGAGCTCCACCGAAGGCCCCAGTGGCAGGGTTCGCATGCCCCCCCACCACCCATTTCGGCACACCCCTCACACGTTTCGTGGCCCCATAGGGAGCTCCACCGAAGGCCCCAGTGGCAGGGTCGCATGCCTCCCCACCACCCATTTCGGCACACCCCTCACACGTTTCGTGGCCCCATAGGGAGCTCCACCGAAGGCCCCAGTGGCAGGGTTCGCATGCCTCCCCACCACCCATTTCGGCACACCCCTCACACGTTTCGTGGCCCCATAGGGAGCTCCACCGAAGGCCCCAGTGGCTGCGTTCGCATGCCTCCCCACCACCCATGTCGGCACACCCCTCACACGCTTCGTGGCCCCATAGGGAGCTCCACCGAAGGCCCCAGTGGCAGGGTTCGCATGCCTCCCCACCACCCATTTCGGCACACGTTTCGTGGCCCCAGCCCCACATGTTTAGCCCCTCCACCGTCGGCACACCCCCCAGCACACGTGGCCCTCATTCGGCTCCACTTGGCCCCATAACCGAACGCCCCAGTGGCAGGGTTCGCATGCCTCCCCCACCCATTTCGGCACACCCCTCACACGTTTCGTGGCCCCATAGGGAGCTCCACCGAAGGCCCCAGTGGCAGGGTTCGCATGCCTCCCCACCACCCATTTCGGCACACCCCTCACACGTTTCGTGGCCCCATAGGGAGCTCCACCGAAGGCCCCAGTGGCAGGGTCCGCATGCCTCCCCACCACCCATTTCGGCACACCCCTCACACGTTTCGTGGCCCCATAGGGAGCTCCACCGAAGGCCCCAGTGGCAGGGTTCGCATGCCTCCCCACCACCCATTTCGGCACACCCCTCACACGTTCGTGGCCCCATAGGGAGCTCCACCGAAGGCCCCAGTGGCAGGTTCGCATGCCTCCCCACCACCCATTTCGGCTCACACGTTTCGTGGCCCATAGGGAGCTCCACCGAAGGCCCAGTGGCAGGGTTCGCATGCCTCCCCACCACCCATTTCGGCACACCCCTCACACGTTTCGTGGCCCCATAGGGAGCTCCACCGAAGGCCCCAGTGGCAGGGTCCGCATGCCTCCCCACCACCCATTTCGGCACCACCCCTCACACGTTTCGTGGCCCCATAGGGAGCTCCACCGAAGGCCCCAGTGGCAGGGTCCGCATGCCTCCCCACCACCCATTCGGCACACCCCTCACACGTTTCGTGGCCCCATAGGGAGCTCCACCGAAGGCCCCAGTGGCGCGGTGCTTATGAGAAGAGGGGCCTAGTTTGCGTGCCCCCTCCTTCGTCTCATATCCGTGCGGTACTCGCAGCTGCATATGGTTGGGTCCTTCGCCAGGCTAATTTTTGAAGTCCACGGTGTGGACAGGGCGGGCGATCCTAAGCAGAGCCTTTGACTGCTTGAGGCCACTGGCCTTTGGTGCCCCCAGTGTTCCGGGCCCCACCCCTTGGCGTCGCTCGGACGTGTGCATTCTTCCGTCGGCGAGGACCATCGAGGAGCATTCTTGATCCTGTTGCGAAGAAAAACAACGCACGAAACCGAACAAAACACAGGGAATGGACATCCGAGCGATGGCCCCACCCTCTCTGAGAAGTGGGAAGACAAGAACCCAGAAAATATGGGAAAATATGGGGAATCTAATTATTTGTGTCTATTTATTTGTGTGTCCCAGTTCCCCTTCACAGGTCTTCGCCGCCGGCGCGCCGAGCGACGAGCCGGCGCCGCGCGCCGCCGCCGGAGCCGGCGGCGGCGCGGCGAGCAGCACCGGGCCCGCGTGAGCCCGGTCGCCGCTGGTGCGAAGGGTCGAGCGCTGGACGCCCGAGAAATGGGTACGGAAGGGGTACAATCGGGGGCGGCAGAGAGGGGGGTGATGACTAGGGGGGGGTGGATATCATGGCGGGGGCCATGATATTTCCCCAGATTTCATGATCATGGCGCCTCTTCTTATTCCATTGCGTCCCTGGTACCCCCGCTGGGCCGCGCACGTGCCGCCGGTCATGATTTGCACCCCCCTCTCTTGGACACCCCCCTCTTGGCCGCTCCCGATACAATGCCCAACAGCAGTTCTTGTTCATTTTGAACAGGACTCGCTGCCCGCGCCGCCGCGGCCTGTGTTCGTTTGAAACAGAAGGCCGCCTGCCCAACAGCGGCCGCTTTTGGTTTGGGACAACATTTGCTGTTGGGCAGTGTGCCCATTCTTTCCGTGCCCATTTCGGGCGTCCAGATAAGTGTCGAGCAGTGGCGAAGCGTCCTGGCTTGCCTGCAGGCCCACGAAGGAACGTGCTAAGAACCTTTTCTGGTCTGCGCGACATGCTCTCAGATTGTTTCTGGCCGAGCCGGCGTCTTGTTTTAGTGCATCGGGCTTATGGTATAAGACCCGTGTTTTTGTTCTCAGAACTTCTGTTGATTCTACGAGCGTTTCGTAGTAGGCCCATAGGCATGCTGGGACGGTCGAACCCTTCTTAACAGTGTGCGTCTTCGGCGGTCGCCTCCGCCCGCGCCGGCGGCGCCGCCCTCGCGGCTCTCTCTCTCTCTCTCTCTCTCTATCTCTTTCTCTCTCTCTCTGTTCTCTCCCTATGAGATCCTGGCGTGCCCATTTTTTCTAGCGCGGCGCGTTTACCCAGTTTCGGGCCCTGGGATCCTCACAGGCCGACGCGGCTCGAAAAATGGCGCAGAACGATCGGGTCCAGTGCTGTTGTCGTGATTTTCACGATATTGTGTTTTTTGTTCGCGTCGTCGGCTCTCAGGATCCTTCGATCTCTGCAATGAAGCCACGCAGCCAGGCCCGCATGGTCCCTCTCCCCAGACTCCCAACGTCTTGAGCAAGCCAAGGCGGCGTTTTTGTCGCCATCTTCGGCCTTTAGAGGCCCTCGCCAGACCTGAGGATGACAAGGCGGCCCTGGGGAAAGGGTCGGGACTTCCCGCTCACGCTCCCGCAGCTGCTCCTGCTTCCGTCCTTCCTCATACTTGTTCCCACCTTACTCCCCCCTCCTACTTGTTCTCGTCCTTGTCCACCTCCCTCCTCGTCCCTGGCTTTGTCGTCTTCGTCGTAATATCGGTCGTCCTCTTGCTTTTTTCTTCCCCTATTACACCTCCTCCTTCCCGAGTGTTTCGACGTGATGATGGCCCAGCGGTGTTACGATACACTGCCTGCGCCCCCGCCCCCCCGTGGGGCTGCGAGGCAAGTGGCCGCGAAGAGGCGCTTCCGCTGCTGCTGCCGTCTGTGCCCTGGTCCCTTCCCCTCCTCCTCCCCCTCCTCGTCCTCGCTGTCTGGCATCGCGGCCCGGCCCGCCGCCGGCGACCCTGTCCACACTTTCTGATAGTTTATTCGAACTTGTCAACAACCAAGGAGGGGGGCTGCCTTTTACCATTTCTCCCCCCGTCCCCCCTCCCCCTGCCCCCCCCTCCCTTCCGCCCCCCCCCCCCGTCCCCCCTCCAGCCCCTGGTCCCTCTTCTTAGTTGTGCAAAGTGAAGAGGACACCTTTCAACACCCTTGTAGACCTTTTAACAAGTAAGGGGGAGGCCACCACCGTCCATCTCCAACACCGTCTGAAGCCTTTCAACAACTCAGGGGGAGGCCCCTGCCGTCCCTCTCCTTAGCTAGTTGTACAGAGTTAAGACAACACCCATTAACAACTCTTTAGAGCTTTCAACAACTACGGGAGGCATGACTTCGGGGTTGCCAGGCACCCGCGTTTCGCGTATCTGGGGGTGTGGGGGACTGGGGAACATCGGAGTCACAGCGTTGACATCAAATCCGAGTGATGTGTAGGATGGAGGGGGGGAGGAGGAGGAGGAGGAGGAGGAGGAGGAGGAGGAGGAGGAGGAGGAGGAGGAGGAGGAGGAGGAGGAGGAGGAGGAGGAGGAGAGGAGGAGGCGGAGGAGGAGAAGGAGGAGAGGGGGAGGAGGATGGATGAGAAAAAGGATAAGGAGGATAGTAGGAAGAGGAGGAGGAGGAGGGAGGAGGAGGATGAGGAGGTATTGAGGAGGTAGTAGGCGGGAGGAGGAGTGATAGGAGCAGGGAAGGAGGAAGGGGATAGGAGAGGTGGGGAGGGTGGAGGGGGGGAGGGGGGATGGGGGAGTTTGGAGGGGTAGGGGGATGGGGGAGGAGAGGGGGAGGAGGAAGAGTGGAAAAATATGGTGGATGAGCACGAGTGTCTGCCGGTTCCCTGTTCCCGATTCTCAGTTCCCGACTCCTTGCACTATTCCTCCAAAGTGGGGGGTGGGGCGAAAGGGAGGAAAGAGGGGGGGGGGACACGGATAGGGAAACCAGAGGGGAACTCCCAAAACGGAGTGGAGGGCGGCCGTTTTGGGAGTGCCCCCGCGTTTTGTTTTGGGAGTTCCCCCCCCCGCACCCCTCCCCCTGGCACACCCGTCCGGGGCGTGGGGGCGGGGGGGGAGAGGAGGACGAGGCAGGAGACGGGCGGGGCCAATTGTCCAAAACGGGGAGGGGGACGGCCGTTTTGGGAGTTCAACCCTCCGTTTTGGGAGTTCCCCCCGCGTTCGGGTACTTTCCCCCCTCCGCCCCCCCCCTCCCGCCCACCACCCTGACGAAGAGGGATTGTGGACGGTGGGGGGGGGAGTTTCAGAACGGGGCGGTGACTTTCACAACAGCGGGGGAACTTCCGAAACAGAGGGGTGCGTTCCCAAAACGGCCGCGCCCACCCCACCGCCTTTGTTTTGGGAGTCCCCCCTCGCCGTCCCAGGACGGGGGGCTGGAGGGGGGGTCGGGGGGGCACCGGGGGAGGGAATTCCCAGAACGGGGGGGGACTTCCAAAATGGGGGGGAATTCCCAAAACGAGGGGAACTCCAAAGCGCTCCCCCCTCTGTTTTGGGAGTTTCCCCCCCGTCCCCCCTTCCTCCCCCCCCACATCCCCCTCGTCCGTCCCCTCCGCCCCGCCCCCCCTCCCCCCCCTTTGCCTGGGACTGGGAGGAACAAAAAGAAGGGGGGGGGAGGGCGTGGATGACGGCGGGAGCGGTGGTGGGGGTGACGGGGTTGCACGGAGGGAGGGGGGTGGACGAATGGGGGGGGAATCCCAAAACGTTCGGGGGGAACTCCCAAAACGGGGTGGGAACTCCCAGCGGCCGCCCCCCGCCCCTCCGTTTGGCGAGTTCCCCCCTCCCGTTCCCCTCCCCCCCCTCCCCCCCCCTCCCCCCGTCCTCCCTCCTCCCTCCTCCCCTCTCCCTCACTCCTCCCTCCTCCCTCCTCCCTCCTCCCCCCTTCGCCTCCCCCCTTCGCCTGGGACGGGCACTATGGAGGGAAAGGAATCGGGAACCAGGACCCGGGGACCGGGGATCTGGGACCAGGAACCAGGAACCGGGAACTGGGAACCGGGAGTCTGGAGTCAGGAGCCGGGAACTGGGAACCGGGAGCCGTGAACCGGGAGCTTGGAACTGGGTGCGTTCCGAGTCTCGCCTGTGTCCGAGAGACGACAGACGATCGACCGAGCAACGACCGACGATCGGCCATGCCGAAGGTGACGATCGCCTAGTCCGACTGGGACGACTGCCGAGGGACGCAGCCTCACACGCCTGTGGGCTGCGCAAGTGTCGGGGCCGCTGCCCAATCCACGGCCAGCCTCCGGTAAGCCGCTGGCCTGCTTCCAATGTAAATTGTAAGGATCATCCGCGCTGTGAGGGGTGTGGCTGGGGGCCAGTTGTTAATTCTGCGCTTTCCAACTCGCGAGGGTGGGGTGAACCTTTCGTGTTCCGCTCTACATTTACAGGGGGGGCGGAGGGCGGGCGGGGGCGAGGTTTTGATTTTATTCTGCGCCAAACAACTGAGCTGGGGAGGGGGAGGAGGCGAGGTCTAAACTCTTGGCGCTATGCAGCTAGAGGGCATGGGGCGGGGAGCGAGGGGGGGCGTGGACGGTGGGGGGGGAAGTCCCCGGAACGGCGCGGGGAGCTCCGCCGAAACGGGGGGGAAGGGGGGGGACTTCTCCCAAAACGAGGTGTCCTCCATGGGGAACGGGGAGGGGAACGTGGGGGGGGGGGGGGGTGGGGGGGGGGGGGAGGGAGGGGGGGAAAACGGGGATAAAGGCCAGGGGACCCCCCCCCCTCTTTCGTTGTTGACAGGGTTTGATCGCTCATGGCGGGATCCCGGGCCGCGGATCCCGAGCCGGGCCGCCCCAGCCGCACCGGCGTGTGGGGTTCGGGCTTGCGCGCAGTAGTCTCTCTTTGCCGACGGGCCAGACACACGACGGGCCGCGGCCAGCTTGGGCGAGAGAGCTGGCTGCTCACACTCGTGTGCTTGGCCAGCTGGTGGTCGTTTTTTTACTCGCTGTTTCGCCGATCGGCGCGGGCCCTCGCACCCCCCCTCCCCTTCCTCCCCCATGTCGGGGGCGGCAAAGAGGGGGGGATGACGAGGGGGGGTGGATATCATGGCGGGGGCCATGATATTTCCCCAGATTTTACTACGCCTCTTCTTATTTCATTACGTCCCTGGCCCCCCCGCTGGGCCGCGCACATGCCGCCGGTCATGATTTGCACCCCCCCCCTCTTGGACACCCCCCTCTTGGCCTCTCCCGACCATGGAGTAGTTGTTGGGCTGTTTTTGGCGCCTGTTTCAGGCAGGTGGGGCCCCTCCCCCATAGGACGTTCTGTTGCGAGCAGTCGCGCTAAGCAGAGGTCCGGAGCCAGACCCCCCCCCTCCCCCCTCCTTGCGTCCAATGTCGAAGCGCCGAATAAAAAAAGTCCACCTGACGCGGACACGGTCCGAGTTGGCGATGCTGATGCGGGGCGCGCGCACGCGAGCTGAGGCCCACGCGGGATCGGCGTCACACAGACCCAGTTATACCGTGTGTGCGTCGCCCCCCCCCAGGGGCGACGCGCGCGCGCCGAGAGATCCTCTAGTGTAAGCTCCGTGGCGGGCGCTTCCTGGCCACGCCGCTCGGGACACGGCACACTACAAGGATTGGTATACCACATGTTCGGGTCGGCGTGAAGCAAGGCGAAGGTGCGAGAGGAAACAGCCGCTGCACGTGGCCGCACGCCTTTCCTCGGTGATCGGCAGCCTGCGCCGGCCCTCCGCGTGTGCATCCAGCGCTTCTGGCTCCGCTTTTTCTTGCCCGTGAGTCCAGTCCTGACGATTGACGCTCGGTCCATACCCCTGCTGCTGCCCCCCCCCACTCTTCAGAGAAGGATAGGTACTCATACCACTACCCTACGCCCGTTTTCGCCTTTTTGGGCCTCCTCGGAGGCCCTCATAGCCACCGTTGGATTCTCCTCGAAATTCTGGTCAGAACGCACCCCGGGAGAGATCCGGGGAGCGGCGGTACCGGTACCTTTCGATTTCCCCCATATCCCTGCTGCTGCTGCCCCCCACTCTGTGCGCCAGGGGAAGCGTTTGCTCCGTCGGCGGCGAGGCGGGGTAATCCGCTCCAGCGTGGTAGCGATGCAGGGGCACTACAAAGCGAATTGGCCGGGGCGGCCGCGAGGGGGGGGGGACGGCGAGCACTCAGGCGCCCGGGGAAGCAGGGCATGTATAAAATAACGTGGCCTCGGAGGCCAGGAATTGTTCCATCTCCCTGCTCTGGCTCCCCGTGGCGTCGGGTCGCGAGCAGGGGCGTGGACACCGTGTCGATCTCCTGCGGTCGCGCTTTCTTGTCCAGCCGGCTGGTGTTCTCTCCTCGTCGGTGTCTGTCCCCAGACCTCCAGCTCGCAGTCGCGCTCGCGGGCATTCGGACGTTTGTGCCTGGGGTTCTCGGATCAGGCAGTCTATAGGGGGCGCTGCGGCCTCCCAGACGCGAGAGTTCCAGAGCTCCACGTATCGAGCAGCGTCACGGTGCTGGAGGTCTGGGTCGGTGTTCGCTGCCGTGCTTGGGCAGACGGGCGAGTCTGTACATAGCCGCCTAGCCGCGTCAAGGAGCCGCCCAGCGGTCGGTTTTCAACGCATCGGCACGCCGCGCACACGCTGGCGGTAAGTCAGGAGCTCAAACAGACTAGCAATGCTGTCGCATATTCTCTTGTCTCCTGTCGACAGCAGCTTGAGGGTTCGATCCATGACGCCGAGGGAGCTCGGCCTTGCTGTACATCCGAAGCCCCCGGTTCGATTCTC